ACGCTGCTTCGCGCCGAATGGCAGCTCCGAAATGGCCTGCGCCAGCTTGGCCGAGTCCTCGGACGAAATGGAAGACCATGACTGCAGCATGGTCGTCGCCAGCGTCGCCTGGGCGCTGAGCAGCTCTTTCCATGGCTCGCTCCGAGGCTGCAGCTTGGACAAGGATGCGGCGGCGCACCTCAGCTGTTCCAGCAACTCCTGGGCGTCCGTCATCGCGCGGCGCGCCGCTCCCACGGCGCCAGGTGGCGCCCCGCACGCGGCGCGAAGCGCGCGTCGCGTCGCGCGCGAAGCCACAGCGGCTGCCGCCCTGATTACATGCAGAAGGCGGTAGCCGCATAGCGATCGAGATCGTTCGGCAAACACGTCGAGCCCTCCCACAGTCGGCCCCTCCGACCACTCGAGCGATCACAATCGCTGCCAGTTCCCCCCCTCTTCGCGACTCCCCCTCATTCCTCGTCCTAGATATCGCAGTGTCATCCTTATCTTCACTTTGCGCCCTCATCGCCCCGAACAATATCGCGACCTGCCCAAGCGATCGCCATCGCTACATGCGCCGTCAAGCGGTCGCCACCGCCATCCCTCCATCAACCCACAAGCTTCCCAGAGCGATCGCCATCGCTAGTCGCCTCCTAAAATATCCTCTCATATTCCCCCTGCAAGCGATCGCAATCGCTACCCGTCATCGCCCCGCCAACGCTTCCCAGCGATCGGTATCGTTATATCTTTCATCACCGTCCGTATCCTCCTCCCTCAAGCAATCGCAGTCGCTGCATCATCCCACTACCTGGAGCGATCGCCATCGCTATTTCCCTCCATGAGCACCCTCCTCCTTTCCTCCTCTTCCTCCCTCATGCGATCCCAGTCGCCATCGCCCTCGTTGGACTCTCACCCCTTTCCCCCCCGAAGCGCGGTCGCAATCGCAACCCTCCGCTATCCCCACTTCATCCTCCAAGCGATCGCCATCGCTAATCCCATCCTCAACGCATCTCCCCTTGAAGCACACAAGCGATCACAGTCGCTTCCAAACCGTTCTCCCAGTACCTCGCTCAAGCGGTCGACACCACTATCTCCCCCTCGGCGTTCCTCCCCTCATCCTCTCTCAAGCGATCGCAATCGCTACCATCCATTGTTCCACTGGAGCGATCGTCATCGCTCGATCAAGCGATCTCCATCGCTATCGGTCTTGTCTCCTTCCAGCGATCGCAATCGCTGCCCTCCATCATCCCACTACCTCCCTCAAGCGATCGCCATCGCTATCTCCACTCCTTCTCATCCCCCCCTTGGCACGCCGCTGCGCACGCCCCGCGGCGAGGCGCGCCTGCCGCGCGGAGGGGCGCGCGCGGGGGCAAGGGAGGGGGAAGGGGGGAGGAGATGTCGGAAAGTTGCAAGTTCCGCATAAGTCTCACTAAGTTGTCCTATGTTACTTAATGCAAAGAACACCTAAGTTACTTAGCTGCACATACTCAGTAACTTAACTCGGTGCTCAAATGCGGACACATACTTATAAGTTCCCCGAGTATTCTTACAACGCACAGCCAATACTTACAACACTGGCAGAATTCTTAAGTCACTCGCGAAACATATGCCCGAACATAAGTAACTTCAGCCCAGCCACAAACACCTCCCAACTAGGCTAAGAAGCTCCAGCCTTTAAGTATAGCCCAATTGCCCTATAGCCCTACAACTCTATAGCCCTATAGCTTTATAGCCCTATAGCCCAATAGCCCTATAGCCCCCTAGCCTTGCAGCCCTTATTGGGTTTTTTTCTCCGGTATCATCTATTCGTTATATTTCTTTCCAAATCCCTCGTAGGAGGATAGACCCGACTTGATTTAGCCTTAGGCACCAGAAAGAACTTCGAGCACCATGAGAGTGCCGAGACTGGAGGGCTGTTTCACTTGGCGGGCCCTGGGGGGCGAGATGCTTGTTCGGCATCGTCTCGATGCTACTTTGGGTGCTCGAGATTATTCCTGGGCTGTGGCCCTCCTCCTTCTCCTCCTCCTCCTCTATCTCCTCCTCCTCCCCCCCTTCCACCTCACCCTCCTCCTCCTCCTCCTTTTCCTTCTCCTCCTCCTCCTCTTCCTCCTCCTCCCCTTCGGGTCGCCTATGGCCCCGGGGGAAACATAGACATAAACTCTCGGAGGCCCTCGAGCCCCTCGACGGCGCCCCCGCCGCCGCCCCGCGGCGACGCTCCGCGCGCCGAGGGGGGGGGGGCCCAGCGCCAATGCGCAAGAAATTCGCGTTGAGCCAATGCACAAGAACAGCGCCAATGCACAATCTACAGGTGGAGAATTCCAAAATAGTCAGAAACAGTCTGGGGACGGCCTTTTGACTTTGTTGGGTTATTTTTTAAGCATTTGTGCTGTGTTCTTTTGGCTTTCGGTCAGAATCCGCCTGTAGGGGACAGGCCCGACCTAATCCCAGCGCCAATGCACAAGAACTCACCGCGGGCCTCCAAAAACTTACACGCCAGTCGTTGAGAGCAGGCACTTCCCCACCCGACAGTTTGGGGTTGTCAGATTTCAAGAACGTCAGGCGATCGCAAACATGTATCAGGGGGGCATGGATTAGCGACGGCTCCCTTTTCCAGGGAAATCGCAGATTCCCGGAGCCGAGCGAGGCGGCACCGGCCGCATTTTGGGGAGGGCAACTCCCCCGATCCATGGATTTGGCGACCGCGCGACAAATCCGTGGATCGCTAATCCATGTTTGCGCGCCCCCGAGAACAGGCCCCCACGGCCAGCCCCACCCTGCATACCGCGGCCGCCAGACCCCACGTTGTCCCGATGATCCCCGAGAGTTCCGGTTGTCCCGTCTCGTGCCCTCGACGAACACGACAGAACACAGCATAGCAGAACGGAACAGCGCTTGACATGACATGACGGAACAGAACACTGCAATATCATGACGAAGTAGAGCAAGCCATATCATCACATACCATATTGGAGCAGAACATGCCATAACATAAGATGGCATACCACAACATAACAGAGCAGGACCGAGCATACCAGAACACAATTTGAAGGAACATCTCATATCATGACACAGCGCCACATAACATATCAGAATACGACAGCAGAGTAGTGGCGACGACGAACACGACATAACACAACATGCCACAACATAGCATGACAAAAGAGAGCACTAGCATAACATACTATTGCATACTATAACATAGCAGTGTCATGAAAAAACATAGCGTAAGAGCATATCATAACAGGACATAATAAAATACTCCATAACACAACATAGCAGAGCAGAACGTACCATAAGGGATTTTGACATAAGATATCATGTCAGACAACAGCGTCGCAGAACATGCCACACCACGAGAGCAGTGCATAGCGGCGCCAAACACGACAGAAGACAAACTGACACAGCATAACATTGTAGAACATGATGCGAGCATGATCGAACACGATAGAACAGAGCATAGCAAAGTCACGACATAATATTATACCATACCATACCACCACAAAAACATACGAGAGTATAACCTGACAGGACAGAGGCAGCCATAACACAACATAACATAACATAACCGCTCGTGTCCTAACACACCTTAACAAACCATATCAGATCATGACACAGCATTCCAGAACAAATCTCAACACCACTGCACATCATAGCGACCCATACTAGCAGAGCAGAGCATACATTATTATACAGAGCCGAGCCTGCAACACACACAACATCGGATAATGTACCAGAGCAGAACATGAGAGACCAGAAATCACACCGCACCCTAACATTTCATAACCGAGCATACTATCACACCTTGACAGGACATACCACATCATGTATCATAATAAGGGAGCAGAGCATAGCGACACATACTAGCAGAGCATATCATAATACACGCTACATCGCCGAGCCGCCAACAAACATTTCACCATTGAACCTACCAGAGCAGATCATAACATACCAGACGACGGATATAACAGCATAACATACCATACTCGAGCATACTATAACACACCACGTCATAACATATAATACCAGAGCATGACAGCATCACATAATATACGATACATGGTAGCAAAGTATACCAATACCTAATGACAGATCATATCATGATATACTCTACGGGGCCGAGCTGTCAACAGCATCGCGGAGCAGAGCATATTAGAACATACTTTGACATACCATATCATGTCATACCAGGGTGCCAAATAACATGTCAGCACATAACATCTCAAGTCAGATGATGACAGAGATGATCATCACATACTACCCAACCAGAAAAGAAACATACAAATGAAGCGGAACGTCATAGCAGACGACGCATCTAACGTCACAGGCGTCACGGCGTCACGCTGGCCCGTCGAGAACAGAACAGGATATAGTAGAACAGAACATGACATAACGTGACTAATGGAACACTGGAACACGGTTGAATTGTTTTTGAATCCAGAAGCGGCAGATGTCGACAAATGTGGCGACCGCGCGCCGTCGGGAACAAGCGCTTGAGGGTTCGGTGGGGATAATTCCAAGCAGAATAGTTTTGGATGCCCAAGTCCCAATCTATCTCAGACGCCCTCCTACTTCCCGCTGCCCTCGTCTTCAGAGGGGTGGGCGGAAGCCCAACCTACTTTCAACGCCTTCCTACTTCATGTTTCCACTTCTTCCGACCGGCGATTACCTTTGCATCCTTCCGCTTCGGCCCGTTCTTGGCCGCCTTCGTTAGCCGCGCCCCGCCCGAAGAATGACGCCTGGCCTTCCAGGGCCCTTGTGTCCTCATCGTGCGCCTTTCTTTCTTATACGTGCCTTCAGCGCCTTCCTACTTGTGCTTCTACACACTTCTTCCGACCGACGTGTGCAGTCAACGCGCCCAGTATTGATGGGCATGTTTTCCCAAGTGTGTCCTTGAATCCCTGCCTCCTCGGTCCATTCTTCACTACTTTCGCTGGCCGTGCCCCGCTCCAAAATGGGCGTCAAGCCCCTTGCATCCTTATCGCGCATCCTTGCTAGACGGGTTGACAGCATGTCTGTGCCACTGCTTGTCTCTCTGGAAGGCCCGAAGGCTGGGCGCGGGCGCGCGGGCGGGGCCCTGCCGACGGCGGCCGAGGCTTTCGCGGGGGGCTGAGACCCTCGCGCGCACCGCTGCGTCGCCAGTTGGGGGGTGCCTCCTCTTCCTCCTCCTCCTCCTCCTCCTCCTCTCCTCCTCCTCCTCCTCCTCCTCCTCCTCCTCCTCCTCCTCCTCCTCCTCCTCCCCCTCCTCCATCATTTTTCCTTATGAATAACTTCTCCCTGTCGCACCCCGAGGCCAGTTGTTAGGGTGGGCTGGGCGTTTCGCTTGAGACTTCCTCACTTTGACCCTGAACTTTAACAAGTGGCAACAGTTTCAGAGATGGAGGGCGGGCGATCTTCGAAATGTGGTTCTCGCAGTAGCGCCGCGCACATTTGTTTCAAACATGTGCAAGAGCGTCACGGATGGAGGGCGAATGGTTTTCAACATGTGGTTCTCGTCTTAGCGCCGCGCACATTCGTTTTCAAACATTGTAAGGGTTTCGCGGATTGAGGGCTGGTCGTTTTCCCCGCGCACATTCGTTTAAAACATTTGCAAATGTTTCACGAATTGACGGCGTGCCGTTTTCAAACTGTGGTTTTCGCATTATCCCCGCGAACATTCTTTTTAATCAGTTGCAAGCGTTTCACGAATTGAGGACGGCTCATTTTCAAAGTGTGGTTCGCTCCTGAGCGCCGCGCACATTTGTTCTAAGCATTTGGGGGAGTTCTTCATATTCCCATGATCAGCGTACCAGAAATTGTGTTTCGTTAGGGTTCAAGATTTTGAGCGGTGTTGAAATCTCAAGAATGGCGTTATGGCACGACTCATGATCGCCATTGCAAAACCGTCAGGTTGATCCGTGACGGTCGAATCCCAATAACAATGTTTTGGTATGCGTCAGGGTCTTGAAACTGTTGTCTTCCAACGAGGCAGTTCCATCAATGGAAATGAACCGTTGTAGGGGCCTATGACGAGGCAGGTTTGAGGGAGGATTTATTCCATCATCGATGCTGACTCTTGGGTTTGCACTGGTCCTCCTCCTCCTCTGCCTCCTCCTCATCTTCTTCCTCCTCCTTTTCCTCCTGCTCCTACTCCTCCGCCTCCTCCTCCTCCTTCCCCCTCCTCCCCCTCCTCCTCCTCCAGTACGTTGTTATCTCTGGAGAAGGGACCTTTCTCTCTGGGCCTCTAGAGTCTCCTAGGGCCCAGCGTAATGCACAGATTGATGCATGGCCGTAAAATAATGTTATGGCTCACGACGAGTCAGAGACGAGACTGCACGAGATTGGGAAGGATTCCAGCACATCTTTTCACGCCCGTGTCCGGGAGGGATTCTTCTATTCACGTGCTACCGCACGTCGTAGCGGAGCAGTCTTGCTCCCTCCCGCTGCCGCCAGGCCCTGCGAGCTCACCGTCTCCGCCATCCACATCAGGTGATTGCGAGACGTTCGGCTTCGACAAGGTCAATTCGATACTACTTGAATTTTTGGGTTGTGTTGTCCCCTTCTCTCGACAACGTTTGGCGGCACGGGCGCATTGCATCCACATTTTGCAGCATCAGCAACGCCAGCATATATTCGTTCCTGGTAACATGATGTGACAATGTATGGCTAATTATCAGACGCCACCGAGCTGGAGCCCAGAGCACGAGAAGGATTATCCACTGTGGTTATGCGCACAATCTTTGATATGACGAGCATCTTAGACGCAATTGCCCCAAGCTCCACCATCATGCGCAGCCATCGCCACCAGCAGCTGCAGCAGCATCAGGTGGTCAGATGTTGGTTCCAGGGACGATGTATATGCAGCAGTACTTTCATCATCACATTGAACCCGAAGCAGAAGCCCAAGTGGGATATTATATTCCAGCAGGTGGTTGGCAACATAACGTTGTGGAAGCGATGGGAATCGCTGATCGACAAGGCCCACAAGACCGACAGTTGCACACTTTGATGATGATGATGAGCCGACCAAAGCACCCCAGAACAGCAACCTATGGCAGCAGCATCCGACCGCCCCGTGATTGAGCAACTCAGGTCCTTGGGCAATGTAACCAATGACGGCGAGCAGGTCGCATCCAGAGTTTCAGCGCTGTTCTGTCCATGGTGGGATCTCAGCATGGTGCATAGCGACGTGGGCAGCTTCAACACCGCGGACCTGAACCACGAGCAGATCTTCCTTCTTAAGGCGAAGTTACCTGGATATGGACGCGAGGGTCTACTTGTGGATACAGGCGCACACGACAATTTGGTTTGCAATCTGTTCGTGAAGCGGATGCTCGTTATCTTGGAGGCTCAGGGTTTGTTAAATCAAGTGAGGTGGCAGAAGCTATCCAAGCCCATCAATGTCTCGGGAGTTGGGGAGCACACCCAACTTGTTGAATGGGAAGTTGCATTGCCTTTGAAGGTTATCGCGAACGACGCTCCAGGCGACGCTACACACACGGCCTGTAGTCGGCACCGAGGAGGAGCTTTCAACAGTGCCAGCATTGTGGGGTGTTAAGTCTATGAGGAAGCAGAGGGCAGTTATCGATCTTGCCAACAACGAGGTGCGTTTGCGTGGACCTGGACGAGTCCGCGTGGACACGCCACGCGGCACCTCCACCATGATGATCGAAGACAGCCTCAGCAAGCATCCCCTGCTGCCCTGTGCGGTTTTCGAGAAAGCAGCCAAGAAGATCAAGGCGGTCAGCGCCACCCTCCACGCGTTCCAGTCGGACAAAACGGCAACGAGGGAGGTTGGCGGTGGCAGCAGCTCCCACTAGGGAGTCGGCCACTGGGCGGCGCGCCCCGCCGAGGCTCCGCGACAGGAGCAGGCCGGCGCCAAGTTGGCGCACGGCAGCGCTCCAGTTCTTCCTCTACCTCGACCTCTACAACTGCACGACGACGCACTACCCGCAAGTGGATCTTGGACGACGTCGATGGTCAATGAAGCCATGCATGTAGTCAACGGTTCCAGGTCCAGCAGTACAACCGCAGTTCGCGGCGCGCGACAGCATCAAGCAGCAATTCAATGCAGACGTTATTTCATCGGCATCATCCAGTACTGTTGTGGGCCTGCCTACCAGGACCTCCGACGACGAGACAGTTTACGTGATCTCATCGACGGCGTTTTCTGCTTATCAGTCAGTTAGGCGAACGACAGATATCGCAGCAGAGAGCCTTGCTTCTCGAGGCCAACGAGCGAGTCCAGATGGTCAGGGCACAACACCACTTTCACGATTTCATCAGCAAGCAGCATCAGGCCGGCAGCTTGAAGACAACTCTCGTTCGACTGCAAGATGGAGATCACGCTGCGATGGTGCGCTTGGAGTCTAACTTCGACTTGGCGTCTCCGGGTATCACCGACGCGGGAGAAGTGCTATGGGCAGTTGCTTGCCTCCTGGACCTTCCTTTCAAGTCAGAGCACAAGCCATCGCGAGAACAAGTCGTTACCTTCTCGACGGCAGCATCGGCGCCGGCGCACTCCATCGACGGGCGGCAGCAAGTTCGCCGCCATCGAGGACGATTCCGCGGCATACCCCACCGATGCAGCAGTGCGAGCTAAAGAGCGAGAGCGACATTGGAAATCTCAGGCCATCGACCTGACGCATGCGACTAAGACCAAGAAGAAGTTCAAAGTCGAGCAGCACGTCGATGACTGTGGCCTCGACGATTCACGTCTCAAACAAGCCTTGTGGACCTTGGACCAGACCAACGGGGGCATCTACGACGACCGGCAGCATCTCGTGGAAGACGAGCCTGACGAGAATGCGCGCTCATTCTTGGCTTTCACTCTGCGAGGCTTGTCGGGGCCAGCCACGGACGACAGTGCCTATGTACATATGCCCCGGAGGCTGGGGCACGACAACTTCGTCAGCGTCATGGCAGATTGTTTTTTTTTTCTCCAGCGCAGCGCAGCACCGACGCCAGTAACCACTACATTGATGTCGTGGAGATCTGCGGGGGCAACGCGAGGACATCGCAGATGCTGATACATCGGTTCCATGAGACCAAGATTGGCCTCAACTTAGACATCGCGGCTGGCGTCGATCTGTTAAATCAAGCGCAGGAAGCGGCATTGTGGCAGTATCTCAGATCAAACAGAGTCATGGTGGCAATATTGAGCGCACCCTGTACTGGACTAGCTGGCTGGCAGACCCGGAACAAGTGCGCGAATCCAGATGCTTGGGGGCGCAGCAGGCAAGTATCAGTACACTTGGCCAAATAGGCGGTCGCAGTTGCTGATTTCCAGTTGCTAAATCACAGGCACTTAATATCAGAGCGCCCGCAGGCCTCCGAGATGTACCACGTGGCGGAATTGTCATGCCCCCGGCGCCCAACAGACGATTTTGATGTCAAAGGGTTGGCGCGGGAAGGTCGCTTTGCATGCGTGCGAAGCGCGTTCAACTAAACGTCTTGAATGCGGCGTCCCGCAAAACGCGGACGTCTACGCACTCGTGTCGACTATTCGTTGAGATCGTCGGCAGGCGCCCCGTTCAGGCCATTTGCACCCTGTATAGGGCAAGGGCGCGGGGGCCAACGGGAGGGGCCCGCCCCCCCCATTCCATCTGAGGCTGTTGCGCATGTGGCTCAGTTGTGATTTGAAGTTTGACATCTGATAGGTTTACAACTTGGAGATTATCTCATGTACGCGTGGCTCCGAGGGCGAGCATTTAAACCTATGACGCTGGAAATCCAGAAGCCTCGGACGTCGTCAAATTTTTGGAGATACAGTATGTGCCTGGGCCAACAGAGCAACTTCATGGCGCTTCAATTTCAGAGTGACACAGTTCGAATGCTTTCAAGCTTCCATCGTTTTCTAAAATGACAAACGTTGAAACTTGTTACAGCCACAAAACCGTTTCAACAGTTTACGGTTTTGACATCATGTAAGTATGAAGCGTGGAGGTTTCCTATTGTTTGGAGTTTGAGCGCTTGAACATTGAACAGTTTCTACGCGGGGTAGAAGGAATCAGGAGTAACCGACGAACGCTTGTATGTATAATGATTGTTGTAAGTTTTGAAACAGGGGGCGCTCGCGACTTGGTCAATCGTCTTTTCCCGACAGCAGGTCGGCTCACATAGTTTCGTGACTTTGTCGTTGCGGTCAGAGAGCGTCTACAAGAGCGGAAAAGACGGACCTAGGTAAAATACCATGGCTGCGCAGTAACATTCGTTGTTCGTTCGACCAAGGGTGCTCGCGTAAGTTCAATCATGGTTTCTGGATGCGCGCAGGCGGCGAAAAGGGGTGGGATGGGAAGGTGTTCCATTAATCCGTAGTTGCGTTGCGGCTTCCTCGTGCGTTTTGAAACTAGAGCATTCGCCTTCAGGCGTTCGAACATATGTTCGCTTGGGGTTTGGCAGGGCAAAGGAGGGGGAGCAGGAACGGCTGGCGAGAAAACGCGACTATGCCGCAACGGTTCGTCATGTGCGCAGAGCGCGGTCATGGTCCTTTTCCCTCTGCCGATCGCAAGGGTCCCCCATGAACTTTTCCGTGACCCGCGCGGGCCCCCAGGTGTTTCGTCATCCTTCCCCGCGTGTCTCCAGCAACGATCTTCCAAAAGTGCTCCTGGAATTCAACAACCTGGAGGACATGTGTGGTTTCTCCACTGAGGGGGATCTGCTTTTTCGCACAGTCCTCGGGGGGCGGGCTATCTGACGACAAACATTGGCACGACGACGCCGACGAGCGTTGCAACGACGACGACGAGCGGTGCGGCGACGACGGCGACAAGTGTCTCGGCGACGACGGGCACGAGCATTGCGATTGCAACGGCGACGACGGTGATGACGACATTGACGAACACTCGGCGGCGGTGGCGACGAGTGCTGCGATGGCGACGGCGACGAACCTTGCGACGACGAAGGCGAACGTTACGACGGCGACGGCAGCGACGAGCGTTGCCGAGACGATGGCGAGCGAGACGACGACCACGGCCACGCGGAGAGACGCGATGACGACGCCATTTAGTTCCACGACGACGACGACGAGCGTCACGGCGACGACAGCAACTAACGTTGCGACCACAACGCCGACGGGCGTTACGACGACGACGACGACGACGAGTACTACGGCGACCAATGTGGCGACTATCGCGAGGGCGATGGCGAGCGTTGTGACCACGGTGGAGAGCGTTCCAACGACAAGAGCAACGGGCGTTACGATGATGACGAACATTACGGCGGCGACGACGGCCACGGTCTCTTGGTGCGTTGAATGGCGGTTGTGGTGTAGCGGCGCATTCGTTTTGGGAGTTTTTACCGACGGCATGATTTAGTGGGAGGTTTTCGGAGGAGGAACGGTTGGCGGAAGGAGGATGAGGACGAACATGTGTTGATGGTGGTGTTTCAGAGTTCCCGGGGCCTTCCCCTGATAAGCACAAAAACCAACGACGATTTTGCGCACGATTTTGCAATACGATTTTTTGGGGCGACTTGCTTGAGACATCTCGACACAAATATTGTTGGCCAGTATTGTATACGAAATCGTGTTGGATCGGGCACCAGATTGTAACACAAATTCTTCTCTCTGGGTCCAGGCTCTCTTTTCAAAATCGTGGTGGCGGTTCGCGGACCCCGCATTCAAAATCGCAAGGGCGGGTCTTGAAAATCGTAGCCGAAATCGTGGTGGGGGAGTTTGAAAATCGTAGGGGCGGATGTTCAAAATCGTAGCCAAAATCGTTGGGGCGGAGGTTGAAAATCGTCGTAGAGGTCACGGTGGAAGGCCACGCCTGCCTGGCCTGACGGCTGGAAAGGTTTGGCCTCAAGTACCTTGCCTTGAGGCCGGAGTTTTCGCTTGAAGTGTCCGGCCTCGCGGCCGGGGCAGTTCAGCCCCGCGGCCTTATCCTGTCATGGAGCGGCCAGTCTATGCATATAGTGCCACTGGCGGCGAGGCAGCTCCAAGAAGGCTCCAAGAAGGCCCAAGGGGATCCTGAGCGGGCTCCGGGAGGGCCCGGGAGGCCCCGAGACACGCCCTCGTGGGCCTTAAACGTTCCTAGAGTCCCCCACGGTAGAGGACTTGAAACGGACGTCTGAGATACTCTACCGCGGGGGCCCCAAGAGGGCGCCAGGAGTGCCACAAGACAGCTCCAGGATGGCCATAAGATGGCCCCAAGAGAGCTCCAAGAGGGCCCCTGAGGCCCCAAGAGGGCCCCAAGGGGGCCTCGAAGGGCCCCCCAAAGCAGTGAAAGTGAAGTCACGCGAGCGCCCTTTCGCGCGACTGAACTTTCACTCACCTTGGGGGCCCTCCGGGGCTTCTTCTGAACCCCCACAGGCATTCCTAGCGGCCCCAGAAAGGCGAATTAGAGCCCCAAGGAGGGTACCAACAGGCCCCCAAGAGGAATGAAACTTATGTCACGCGAAAAGGGCGCTCGCGTGTCTTCACTTTCACTGCCCTTGGTGGCCCTTCGGGGCCCTCTTAGAGCCCTATTGGGCCTGAGGGTTATCCGGCCTTGTGCGCCACAATCATGCGGCAGCTTTCTGGTGATATGCGCTTGCGCCTCGCAATCGCGACGCGATTCCAAGGAAATGCGAAGTTCCACTGCCCATGCGCGAGCACAGCGATCGTGCGAAACAGTCTCCTCGAACAGTGCTGGCACTTTTTGCATTGCATGTTTCTGATATGCGCTGTAGAAGAATCAAACCAGATTTCGATACATGCGTAGATAACACTTAAAACAACAAGCTTCGACTCCGACCGCTCCAACACGCAAGCAGCTCTAGTGAGGCAAGCCCCAGGCGGTCCTGAAGAAGGCTTCGGAGGGCCCCCCCTGGGGCCTCGCCGAGTCCCCATCATACAGGCCTAGAGAGCCCAAGAGAGCTTCAAGAGAGCCCGAGAGATCCCCAATACGCCTTCCCACCGTCCAACCCTTGCCTCCCAGTCTCCTCTCCTTGGCTCCCTCCGCCCCTTTCCGGCGCCTTCCCCCCGCCCTCTTCGCTCTCGTTCTTTATGCTCCCATGTGCTTCCCCTGCGGAGGATGGGGGTGTGAGGAGGGCGGGGGTAACTGCAACCGGTCTTCTCGCCGACGTGGAGCATGTGCAGGCAATTCCCGTGGTGGGGGCGCTCCTGGCTGGCGATCGCCCTCGTCGTCTTCCGTTTTGCCCGTGCTCTTTGCATACTGCGTGGACATGCCAAAACAAAATCTGTATAGCTTCAAGCAAGCAGCGAAACCAGTTAGGAGAAACTGCAGGTCCAGTCACCCACGCAGGCTCGACTCGATGATTCGATTTGTTTAAATCGAATAATTTATGTGCGCGGCGGCTGTGTTAAGGTGCGTTTAATTTCGTTGCTTAGGGCGTTGACCCCAGGGCGTGTGCAAATCGTCCGTTCCTTTTAGGAGCTCGCCAGAATTTTATCTGACCTCCTCGGCCCCACCTCGTGGCGGTCAGCGTCGCTCCCCCTTTCTCCGCCAACCCTTGCTGCGCCCATCTCTCCCGTGATGTTTCTTCCGACCGTACCCGCGTCATCGCCTCTGATTTGGGGTCACGAAGTGTTTTATAGAAAACGATGCTTTCATGAAAAAAGTGAGGTCAAAATCGTGGCAGGGTTTGTTGGGGCTCCGGGGCCGCGAGGAATTGGATTACACGCGAAGCCATGCTCAGCTTCACTGGTGCATTGTGCATCAGTGCATGACGAGTCTTCGCGAACATCGAGCACCATTCCCACGCCTATTTACGCCGGCGGGGTTCTGGGCATCATATTGCTTCCTAATCACGGCGCTACTGAAGCTCATTTGCGATCGGACTCATGATTACGCCACTATCTCTGGAGGACGATCTCATGACGCAAGGCTATGGACCTCGGTGCTGACTCAGTTGGTGGCCACCAGCATTCGCGATCTATTGCGGCATCTCAGGCACCATCAAGCATTCTATCCGCGAGTGTCAGCAGATGCCGAGCTAATCGCAGCACCAGCGCCTGCACCTCGGAGGAAGAGCGCATCAAGAGCACCAAGTCCATTGACACCTGCACCTCCTCCTCTTGCAGAAGTCGAAGCACCGCCAGCGCCAGCGCCAGCAGCCCCGCCAGTGCCGGATCTGGCAGCGGCATCTTCATCAGCGGCATCCTCGTCAGTGGCACGGCTGCCTCCTGGAGCCCGCTGGGCAAACAGAAAAGGCGCTTGGCCAACCCTCGACATCAGTGCCAGATTGGGTCAAGTGCCAGCATGTAGAGGCAAGCAGGACATGTGCGATCCACGTCA